GTTGGAAGGGACCTTAAAGACCATCTAGTTCCAACCCCCCTGCCACGGGCAGGGACACCTTCCACTAGACCAGGTTGCTCAGAGCCTCATCCAGCCTGGCTTTGAAGACAGTTAGGGATGGGGCATCCGCAGCTTCTCTGGGCAACCTGTTCCAGTGCCTCACCACCCTCTCCGGGAAGAACTTCTTCCTGATATCTATCTAATCTAAACCTCCCTGTTTTCAATTTAAACCCATTACCCCTTGTCCTGTCACTACAGGCCCTTGTAAAAAGTCCCCCCCAGCTTCCTTGTAGCCCCTTCAGGTACTGGAAGGTGCTATAAGGTCTCCCCGGAGCCTTCTCTTCTCCAGGCTGAACAAGCCCAATTCTCTCAGCCTTTTATCACAGTAGAGGTGCTCCAGCCCTCTGATCATCTTAGTGTCTCTCCTCTGGACTCCACTTTAGATTCTGCTGGTATAAGAGGAGTTTTTTTAATCAATTGTCACACCAGACTAACAAAATCAAGTGAAAATATACTTTCTGTAAATAAGGCCTTGGGTTTGTCCTTCAGCTGCTTAGAGTGGGGCTACTCAGCAGTATAGGCTTTACAGGGACAGCTGTAAAGTCCTGGCTAAATCAGCATTTTCACGACTGCTTCCCCACATGAAGATTGCACAGCTCTAAGAAATAAAAGCTTGGCATCGATGAGACTGGAGAAAATGAGTGGCAGGTTATGTGAGGGGATCTGTTGTAGGGGAATGAGGTGGTGGTTGGAATCTCCTGGAGAACTTAGGTGTTGCAGAACGTGTTCCTAAGCTGCCTTGCAGCTGCTTAATTTGAATTCCTTGTGTATGTAGTATGTGAAACCTGTGCACATGTTTGCAGGATCAAGGTATATCAAGGAAGTAATGCATTTTATTACCACACGTCTGTAATAATCACTTTTCTCCCTTTTAACAACGATGATGTGTCTACATGCTACTAAATATGACAGAGAGGGGTTTTTTCTTTTTTTAAAAACCAAATTCTTAAATTATCTAGGACGACTAATGCACCTGAAATCCCTGACCCTGTTTCATTTGGCCTCAGAGTGTAACAGTACTGCTTTTCAGTAGTTAAAGTATTCTTACCAATTTCAGGTACAGTCCAGATGTCGTTTTTTTACAAGAGGTCATCCCTCCACATCTCTGTCTTCTACAGATGAGAGCAGGCAGTTACACTATTATTCCAGGTAAGAAATAACCCTCAGTTTCTAAAGACAGAAACCTGAAAAAGTAAGTTTGGTTTTATTCTGTCTGCCTTGCCAAAATATCTGACCATTTGTAGGAATGAAAATGAGTGAAGAAGGAAGCACTTAAATTACTTCCTGTGTTTTGATATCACTGTACAGTTTGATGCCAACTGTGCATGTGAAAAGCTTGCTTGCCTGGTGGTTTCCTTTGTATTCTTTCTGCATTTTGAAAGACTCATAGCAAGGGTAGCCAAAAAATGCCGTAGATATGTAATTTCTTAAATGTTTGCACTTAAATCTGAAAAATTACATCACTATTAGGAATTTTTTAACTAACAGCTTTGTACATCTTACAAATTAATGTGATTCTCCCACATCATGGTAAAAATGTCTCTTTCAGAACCTTAACGTCTTTATGGCATGGCCAAAGATATCCTCGACCGTTTCTTTCCCTGTTCCTCCTTAGGTAACGTAGATGGCTATTTCACTGTCATAATGTTGAAGAAATCAAGAGTGAAGCTACTGAAACATGAGATAATACCTTTTCCAACAACCTCCATGATGAGGAACCTTTTGGTTGTGCATGTGAGTAAGTCAATATGTACCAAACAGCTGCATTTCTGCCTTCAGAACAAAATCCCAGGCAAGGCTGGACTTGCTTTACTCTATGACAGTCTCAGATGGCAGAAAAACTTCTCCAAACACACAAACCCGGTTGCATTTGATACTAACAACTCTTTCATGTTAAGTTACTGGTTGTACTTTGTTTTCAAGTCTCATATCCTCTGAAAACAGAACTAAAAGCCTGTTATCCTCCTGTAAGCCACTTTTCTTCAGTGTAAAACTAATATTAACCAGATCTCTGTCACTCAGTAACTTACTTGGTGATTAGGTTTTGTCTTTGAACATGTTAATACGATGTGCATAGTAACATTGCCTCTTTGTTTCATGCACAGGTGAGCATATCTGGTAATGAACTTTGCCTTATGACCTCTCACCTGGAGAGCACTAAAAATCACTCCAAGGAGCGTATCAAGCAACTGCAAATAGTGTTAGACAAAATGCAGGCGGAGTCTGAGTCCACCACTGTGATATTTGGAGGGGATACAAACCTCAGAGACAGCGAGGTAAATAGGAATGAGCAACCTTGTTACTTTGAGAAAGTATTGTGACAAAGTCTCCTCAGAAAGGCTTTTCTGTTGTCTTTGAGAAATGACCTGCTTAGGCAGAACAGAGATAGGCAACGTTTATTCTTGGAAAGGGGAAGCGTGACTGAGGAGGAGCTGCAGCACTGCTGTGCTGAGGCATTGTTATAGCTAAGGTGGTGTACGTGAAGAGCTTCCCTCCTACCCAATAACTGCTTTATTGGTAGTGTTTATACCTGAGAAGCAGGGATAGCTGATGAAGTTTTGCCTTCAAAAGCTTCTTCTCGTTTTGAGAGCTTGATCTTGCTCAGCTCTCCGATTCTCAGAGGGTTAATGCTTGTACAGTCAGTGAGAGAAGAGGGTGCTCTGGTGAAATACATCTTGGGAGTTTAAAATGAATCCCCTGTCATCAAGACATTCCAAATTAGAAGCTGTTTCTGGCTTCTGCTAGTAAAAGTGAAATTTGTGCATTATTACTAAAAGGTCGGTGTTTCATCATTCCCCGTCGTGAAATCCTGTTGCAGTGAACTGGGACAGCAGTGTTTCAGAGAGCACGGCCTTGACACCCGTACCTCAGAATTCGAGAGCCGAACGTTGATTTTGTAACATGTTTGGGATTTAGAAAGTACTACAGGAATTGGTCATGCTTCAGAGTATACTGAGGAACACCACAATTTAGAAATTTCTCCAATATCTTTGGTTTTAACAACTCATGTTTCGCAGAAAAAAAGTGATATGTGACAACTCAGTTCTGTTAGTGAATCCAAAAATTTTACCTTCACAATCTTGTTGATTTTCCCCCTTCTCCCCACCCCCGCCTTCTACTTTCAGGTTACTAAACTGGGAAATTTACCAAACAACATTATGGATATGTGGGAGTTTTTGGATAAACCTCAACACTGCCGCTATACTTGGGACACCCACTCCAATACCAACCTGGGTGCGGGGTACAAGTGCAAGATGAGGTTTGACCGCATTTACCTTCGGCCTGCAGCAGACGGAGGGCACATTATTCCACGAAGTATGGATTTAATAGGATTGGAAAAACTAGACTGTGGCAGATTCCCTAGTGATCACTGGGGTCTTCTGTGTAACTTTGATGTGATATTGTAGAAAGGCTTGCATCCTTAGTTTCTAGGTGATCTGTTCTTGATTTTACAAGACTTTACTGTCTCTGTTTAAGTAGGACATGTTTAACCCTAATGCATCCTCTGCTTGGCTTACGCCGGAACTGCATCGTTTCAAGCCAGGGTTCCCTTTTCCTCACTGTACGTATTGGCTCTCGAACCGTGTTTTTAAATATTTATTCTTAACAGTGTATGCAAATACAGAGGCAAATTCTGGTTTTAAAATGGGAGGGAAAAACCTGTAAATACAACGCATAAAAATACTTGGTGATTCAAAAGATGCTTTTATTCTGGCTTGTATTATAATCTCATAATAAATGCTGCTTTTTTATTTTAAGAATACTTATTATGCCTGTTTTTGTTTTTCATAACCATTTGCATCATCCTTTATAACTGTCTTTTGCATGATGGTTTGTATAAGCCTCTGAAGTTTGCTTTGCATGTACATGCGCCTTCAGGCAAGGAAAGAATGACTGGATTCTCACAGGAGAGTGGTTTCTTAAGTAAGAATTAAACTAATATTGAGTAGATTTAAGAACGATATGCCTTCTCTTTGACATGAAAAGGATATAGGCAGATGCATGAAGTTGTTTGGCACAGTGCATACCTTACTCTGTGTTTATTAATGTATTCTAATCTGCAGCTCATATGCAGGTTATCTTTCCAGTGAGCTTCTAGAAGCAATACTCTCAAAACCTGCTGTGCAAAGCCTGAGCAGCTCAAGGCCTCGCTGACTTTGCAAGAAAGCAAGCAGCCTTTCTTACTCAAAGAACTGTGTAATCAGTCCCATAAAAGGTGTCATTTCATAGATGTGAAAGCTACTAAGCTGATTTAAAATGGAAAGTTCCCTGTCTGATGCGAAGTTCACTGCACAGGCATGGAGAGTGAGCACCGACAACCCATGTCAGTGATGCAAAGTGGACACGGAGACTGACAGCCTAAAGTCCTTGATTACTTCTTGTTGTTTGTCTTTGGTCTTAAGCCCAAACAACTTGTGGTTTGCTGGAGTCCTGTGGTGGGTTGGCCATGGCTGGTAGCCAAGCTTCCCCCAGCTGCTTGCTCGGTGCCCCCTTCCCCAGTGCAGTGGGAAGAGGAAATAGAAAAACAGAAACAAGAAAACTCATGGGTTGAAGTAAAGACAAGGGAGATCACTTACCAATTACCCTCATGGGCAAAACAGACTTGATTTCAGGAAATTAATTTATGGCCAATTAATATAGATATTTAATTACTGATTTGGGTATTGGGAAGCAAGAAGGGGAACACTAAAATACAGCTTTTCTCTCCTGTTCCCCTGGGTCAGTGTCACTCCAGGCTCTTCTCCTCCCTCTTGTTATTGTCACAGGATACGCTGTCCCTTCAGTGAGGCAAGAAGCAACCGGGGTGGGGGGCGGAGGGCGACAGCAGGCAGCAGAAGGCAAATTATGGGATCCCTACCCTGAAATAGTCAGGACCTTCAACCAGCTCTTCCTTGTCCCAGGAACAGGGAGGCATGAGGTAGATGTGGTTTTCCATTGATTGGACAGGAGGACGAGGTGACCTTACTAAACAAATAAATGAACCCCAGGAAGTTAATTCATCTCCACAGATAGCAGCTGCAGAACTCTCCAGTTCTGCTTTCGCTTCTTTAAATATTAAACCCCAGATTCCTTTTAGTAAAGGTAAAGAGGCCAACCTGTTTTGGGAAGGACATCCAAATCCTTGTGTTCTGATGTCACTCAGCATATGCCATTGTTTTTTAATTGCTCGGCGTCAAAAACAAGGATGGGGAAGTCACTGATACTTTTTTTAACTCATGCTGGGCCTGTGATCTCTTCTTTCTGTTCTCAAGTAAATAGTTCTATGAAAAAGTGAAAAATACCTGCAACTGCCAAGATTTTCCTTCTGGGTTTGAAATGGGGCTGGCGCAGTCACACCTGACGTGCTGTGTGCTCTCTGCTTCCTTGCCAAGAGCCTTCAAAGGAATGTCATGGGGTTTTGTTTTCACCACTTACTCCTCCTTCCCCTCCCTGGTAGTTACAGACGAAGGATTTGTGGGGAAGGTGAAGGCAGGGGATAAGGGTTTAACTTTCCTAAAGGTGTTGCAGAAGGGGAAAGAATAATAGGCTCACAGTTTGTCGCACGAAACACCAGTGTCTGTGGCCTTCTGTGGTATGGCTGCATTTGCTTATGTGACTGCACCTTCTGGGCTATTTTGGCATGTATGAAAAAGGCTGACCGCTGCTGTTCTGGAATAGGTTTTTAATTTGCAGAAGAAAGAACAGAAAAAGAGGATTCAGAGCAGTGTGTGACCTAGCTCGATGCCTAAACTCGAGACCCATTAATAGCATTGACTAACTGAACCCTCCTCTGATGGGCAGTCTGTCTTAACCTTTGAAAGAGAGGAGTGGGTGGGGACATATTTTTATTAGGAACAAGCAAAGACATAACACTTTGTAAGGGCCAATTAATTTTTCTAATTATAAAAGGTAGGCAAGAGGAACACTATATTCAGTGGAATTAATGGTTAGTCATTCTTCCAGAATGAGGAAATCGTGCATCCTGCCTTTAAAAAGCTTCTTAGCTACAGAAAATGTGAGAATACTTAAATGAATTTAAGAAGACATAAATGCTAAATGTTTTACTGACTATTGGATGTGAAGCAGTACATCTTTAATTAAAAATACTTTAAACCTCTTAATAAGCCTCCAAATTACTGACAATCAAGAGCTTTCAGGGCCCTTAAATTAATTTGCCTCTTAATTTAATCAGTGATATAAAAGGTGAAATATCTGCTGCGTACTGCAACTAAAACTTGAAAGGATAGAAACAACAAAGTCAAACCTAGCAAAACTTCTTGGCCTACAACTCATGATTTGATTTGTTTTCTTGATTCAGTAACATAAATAGTATGGTGTCTGTACATCCCAGAGGACTTGCACAAACACGTGAATGTGAGAAAATGCAGGAATTCTGTCCCATTAATGATCACAGCAACAATGGACCTTGTCGAAACCATGTACTATTGGAGGCGTTATTTTATTAGTACTTTGATTCAGGTATCAAGAGAAGCAATTTCCTCTGAGGACCCATCCAGACAAACATTTCTACATCAAAAGGTGTTGAACTTAGTAAAAGAGAAGAGGTATGCATAGAACAATATAAAGAAAAGTTAAACAATTAGAGAGGTAAAGAATGAATATGTGGTTTTAAAAACTCTTATTCACCAAGAGTGTAATAAGGACTCATTAATGAAGATTGAGAAATAGCATCTTTTGATTTCTTGGAGACGAGGCCTGTTGTGTAACATCAGCTCGGAGAAAACAGGCTCCCAGTGACTGAGAAGCCGTCAGCCTAACACTGCCACTTTGGTAACGGCTGAGAAAACAGGAGGCTTAAATGGGAGGTGCAGTAGGCAGAAATGTTGCTGAATTACAACTGAAACGAAAGTAATACCGTGTCTGCAACAGCACACAGTAAAATCACCGGTGTGACCTCTACCTATGTAGTTATGCACACATGACAAGAAGTTGGCCTACTAAGGCAAGGAGGTCAATACATAGGAGATCTACAGTTTTGACCGAGGAAAAGGATAAGAGTGTTTGTCTGCCTCCATGACAGATAACGCTTCAGTGAAAGAAAGGTAAGGATTAAACCGTGTCATTCTAACATTTTGCACTATTAGATTTCCTCATACTGTTACTGGAGGGCGGGAGGGGCAGAGAAACGAATGAAAACCTGCTCAGAAATCATGTTGAGGCAGAGGCTTTACCTGGATGTGGCAGTAAATACTGCATGTGAGTACAACTGGCAATGCTGGACAAATATGGCTAAGAAAGGGAACTCACCTCATTGTGGTTTTCAAAAAAATCTCCCCAGTTGTTGAAGAATCTGAAAAAACTCTGTCTCAGATGCACTGGAAGTGAATACAACCTTCTTTTTCAGTGTTGGCAGACACTTCCTTGAACTGAAACAGGTCAAGATTTTGACCCATTTAAGATGGGAGGTGGGGAAAAAGGATATTTTGAGAAAAGCGCCACACAGTCTGACAATGGTTTGGTAACAACACTGATGCATGCCCAAGACCCCTTTGGAACAGGTGTCATGTGGAACACTTCACAGCAGCTGGCTGAGTTGTGAACAAGCTGGGTGAGAAGGGGAGGGACGGCAGTGTGCCCAGGGGTGCTCCAGCCCCCTGCAACGGCAGGGACCTCCCTGCATGCTGCAGTAATGTCACACCTCGAGCCAGGGCTTCCCTGCCACCAGCACCACGTGCTGGTAGCTCAAGGGCCATTTGGGGATGATGGAGGGGTGCTGCCAGGTATCCAAGCTACCTCTGGATGAGTGGCAGTGAGTTAGCTGTCCTGGCTGTTGCAGAGCTGTTGTCTGACCAACTGAGTGCACCTACTGCGGGAAGGGGCTGGAGGTAACCAGAGCAGCGTTTACCTGTTAGGTTGCATTTTGAAGCTTTAATAGTCTTTAGATAGCACTGCTGCACACTCAGCCTGTTACTTCATCAGCGTTAAGCCTATTAGCTCATCAGC